GTATTTTCACGCAAATTCTTCTGCTAATTGGGGTTTAGTCCAATTCTGTATCCTTCCCTTCAAGGCTCAGGGGTCCATGATTATCTTCTGTGTCTCTGTTAATTGGTTTCCCTTTTCTTTGTTGAAGAGGGTCTGTGCAATCCTTCTGCCTAGTCCGCCATCTTGCCGGAACTCCTGTTTATTTATTTTTTAAATCCGTTTGTAGGACCTCTCTGTATGTTAGGGAAATTAGCATTTTGTCTATGATACGAATTTCAAATATGTTTTCCTGATTCATCATTTATCTTTCAGTTTACTTAGGTCAGGGCTTTGTTTTGTTTTCTTGGCATGCAAAAGTTTGAGTTTTCTGTATTCAGAGTTATCATTCTTTCTGTTACCAGCTTCTGATACATAAAGGAATTCGCTTAGGTAGTTTTCTTCCAATACTGTTATGGTTTCATTTTTGCATACAAATCTTTAATTTACTAAAATTGTTTCTAGTGTGTGGGATGAGGTATGGATCCACTTTCTCTTCCTCCAGGTGGCTGCCTACTTGTCTGAGTACCATTTTGGGAATAGTATATCCTCTTCTTTATTGAGTTCACATGCTACCGGTACCTTAGCCTGAAATTCTCAGGTACCTTGATCTGTCCTAGGTCTGTTCTTGCATTGGTCAGTTTATCTGTTTATACACTAGTACTGCATTGTTTTTAGACTACTAAGATGTTGTAGTTTGTTTTAATCTCTTACGTGGTGGGTTCCCTTTTTGAGAGTCTTCCTGGCTCTTAGGATGCGTGGTTTTCCAGATCTAGAGTCACCTTCTATGGTTTAAAAAGGAAAAAAAGGTTTGTTTTTATTAGGATCACACCAAATTTATAAATTACCTGAGAGAACTCACACTTGTGTGCTGCTGACTTCCTGTCATTGGAGTCGGCTCAATGGCAGTGAGCTTGGTTTGGTCTCCTGTGGAGAGTATGGTATGACTTTTCCATGTTAAGGTATTTTTATGTGTGCTTTAGAAGTTTTAAAGTATTCTTTACAGAAGTTGTATGTATTTACTGTTAAACTTACTCCCTTTTTGTTGCTATTATACATTGGGGTCTTTTTTCCATTATATCTTCTAACTGGCTCTAACTGGTTATTGTTTTTAATAAACCTATTGTTTCTCATACATTATTTTGTGCCCTACCACTTTCATGAATTTTTATTGTTTTTCTTCATTTTCTCATGTACTTGCCCATTTTTGTAATGGAGCGTGTGTGGCTTGTTTCTTTAAACATCCATTTTTGTGAGTTTTATTGCTAAGAGTATGTTATGAGTATACCTTCCAGTTGGTTGTCATTTTTATTAACGTGTACGAGATTCTTAAGGGATAGCTCGTTCTCCATTGTTGCTGCAACATCAGAACGATGTGTGTCTTTGTCCTTTGGTGATCGTCCTGTTAACAGTATGTTGTTTGTTGTTGTTGTTGTTATGTGTGAGTCGGACCCGACTCATAGCAACCCCTCCTTGGGTTTCTGAGGCCGTATCACTACAGAAGTAGATTGCCCAACCTTCCTTCTGAGGAATGGCTGGTGGGTTTGAACCGCCAGCCTTCTGGTTAGCAGTCAAGTGCCTTAGGCACTGTGCTACCAGAGCTCCCTAACAGTATGTAGGAACCTGTATTTACCTCGTGCTGAAGCGTAACTTTGTATTAGGCCCATTCAAGCCTATTCCTGTATTCATTCAGTATATGCTCAGCAAATGTTGATTGAGTGCCTCCTGCGTGCTGTTTGAGGCCCTGGAGAGAGATCAGGGAATGCTGACTTCACTTTTGTTGATTTATGCCTCCCTTTGTAGGAATTCCACTACATAGAAGAAGACCTGTATCGGACAAAGAACACACTGCAAAGCAGAATTAAAGATCGAGAAGAAGAAATTCAGAAACTCAGGAATCAGGTACAAATCAGCATTCACAACTCAGGAAAAGATGTCGCCGTAAAGCTGCCCTTCTTTAAGGATGTAGTGAGACCTTCCCACTGCCTTTCCTTGCCCTGCACCCTGTGGCTGCACTAGTTGGATGACGTATTTCTGACCTGCTAGAGTTCCCACCTGATACCCCATGAGTCTGCATCTGCTGTGCTCTCTGGCCGACCCCTCACAGAAGGATCTGCCAGCTGCAGCCTGAGGGGTGTGAGCACCACCAACATGTCCTGCCTTAGCACAGCGGCAGTGGTTCCACTGGTCACCACTTTCATGATTGTGGCTGCTTTTCCTAGGAAAATCCAATGACAAATCTTCCTGGTAACGATGGATAGTGCTTTCGTCAGGTCACCAAAACCTTTTTTTAACTCTGAAAATGTGAAACATACAGAAAAAATAATGGCACTCATGGGCCTACCACCCAGATTTACTATGAAAAAAAAAACCCGTTGCTGTCGAGTAAACTCTGATTTGTAGTGACCCTATAGGACAGAGGAGAACTGCCCCACAGAGTTTTCAAGGCTGTCATCTTTACAGAAGCAGACGGCCACATCTTTCTCCTGTGGAGCAGCTGGGGGGTATGAACCCCAAGCTTTTGGTTAGCAGATGAGTGCTTACCCACTGTGCCACCGGGGCTCCCCAGATTTACTAAAAAGCCTGTGTCATTAACTGGTAGACACATGCACTCACTTATGCTGCAGGTCCCTATTGTCCTTTCCTCCCTTCCATCTAGATGACTGATTCAGTTAATGCCTGACTCAACCATTTACATAATTCATGTAAAGATTTATTAATTCTTCACAGGAGATGGGAACAGGTCACAGCTAACTGATTAGAGTGTTTCTTTCTCCTTATTATGCCTACATTGTGAAATAATAACGTGATTGCTAGCAGAAAGTCCAAGAAAGAAGGAAGGTGCAGAAACCCAGAACACCAGGTCGTTTGGTCCTTAGATAAACATTCCTGTGTTTACTAAATACTCATTTAGTACCCACCATGTCTAAGGCGTTGTGCTATTTTTGGTAATTAAGAATTAACCTTAGGAAGATGTCTCTTGGGGAGTTTTGATCTAATTAGAGAAGAAAACTTTGTCTTACAAATTCATTGAAGAGGCACAATTGATGCCCATAAGACAATGTTATCAGAGTGAGTGATAAATGCCAAGACGGTCTGGGGGAGTCAGAAAAGACTAGGATCACACAGACTGGAGTGATTGGAGAGGGCTTCAAGGAAGAGGTGTTGAAGGGCAGGTGGAGCTTAGATCAGAGAAGGCAAAGAGTTTTCCAAACAGGAAGTTAAGAACAGCAGAGCAGAGGCTGAATGGGAAGAGAGGGAAGTGGTGTAAGACAAGAGCAACTAGAGGAGAGAACAACGGAGGCTTTTACATAGCACCTGTCAGCCAGGCCCCACTACAGAGCTGTCACGGAAGACCTCCAGCGTGCGGAAGGAATGGTCCTCATTTACAGATGAGGAAACGGGTTCAGAAAGTGCAGCAGTTTGTCCAACATCAGGTAACTAGTAAAGTGCAGAGCAGAGCTGCAGGCCTGGCCCATGTGCTTTGCACTGCACTGCAGCTGGTGAATCACCGAAGGTTTTGAATCCAGGCTAAGGAGTGTGAACTGTTCAGCTTTCAAACGTTTGTAACCGTGGTGCCACAGTAATGCATTGTGTCAGCACTCATGGACAAAACCAAAACAAATGTCACAAGATGTTACCCTCGCACATAGTGTGCTGTACACTCTTGTGTCCCATTCTGTTCTATTACATTTATTTTCTTTAAATGTCATTGTTGAGAATATATGCAGCAAAACACAGACCTGTCCAGCAGTCTCTGTGTGTACAATTCTGACACTGATGCCATTACTCAAGTTGTACCAGCATCTCATTCTCCTTTTACAGTTGTTCCTCCCTCATTGACACAACTCACTGTACCCTAAGTTCCTCTCTAATCTTTCAGGTTGTTGCTGTCAGTTGGATCCCATACAGATAGTTCTTAAAAGAGTACAATGCTCAAGGCAGACTTTTTTTACTGGTTAAGTTAAACTGTTGTTTTGTTTTAAGAAGACTTTAGGGGATATTTTTGGTTTAAAGATTATGTCAAGTCAACAGTTTAAGGGATTCATCCACCCTCCATGACTCCAGAAATGCTAGAGTCCATGAGAATTTGAAATTCTGTTTGGCATTTTCCCCATTACATGTTTTTTGAATGCTGGTTGCAACCCACCAGATTGATTCCATGACTCACTAATAGGGTTCAGCCTATGATTTGAAACCTTGTGGTCATGAGCATGAGATAATCTGGTAAGTTATGTAGGCCTTTGTTTGGTAGTTCCAGTGTTTTTGTATATTGATCTTGTATCCTACAATCTTGCTAACCTCACTTATTCTAGCAATTTTGGGGGATTTTCTCATAAGTTTTTTTTATATAAAATGATTATGTGTACAAATAAGGAATCTACCAAATTAAAAAAAAAAAAAAACCACCCCTGAAGATAGTGAAAGAATCGTGTAACGTTTTATGAAATCAAGCAATGCCACAGTTTACCTGTGAGACTGTAGCAGTCGGGTTTCTCTGCTGTATGACTTTGATTTTATGTAATAATTTTGTGAACACTCTGCCTTCCAGCTGACCAATAAAACCTTGAGCAATAGCAGCCAGTCCGAGTTAGAGAACCGACTCCACCAGCTGACGGAGACCCTCATCCAGAAGCAGACCATGCTGGAGAGCCTCAGCACAGAAAAGAACTCCCTGGTCTTCCAGCTGGAGCGCCTCGAGCAGCAGACGAACTCTGCCTCCGGGAGCAGCAGTAACGGCTCCTCCATCAACATGGCTGCGGTCGACAGTGGCGAAGGTAACCCAGAAAGGGGCTCCCAAAACACGTCGTTCATTTCCTTGCCTTCCAGCCTTGTGAATTCAAACCCCATTTTGAAAAATTACAGGAATCTCATTTTTATTTGAAAAGAAGCATCATCCATTGAAGGACCCACTTTTCTCCTGATGTGAAACCTGGACCCTGGGCTGTTTACTGTTTTTATCAGTGAATTGGATAATGGATTAATTAATGCCTCTTGATGTTAATATTATTGATAATTGTGTTGAAGTATATCAGACACTTAGAATGATGCTGACCAGGCCAGTAATTCAGTAGAGAGGGGCTTTCAGGAAACACGAAGCAGGATTTGCTTGAACAGCCTTCCAGTGAATAATTGTGAATTCTGAAGCTGACACATAGTGGTCTCAGTGTCCAGAGACTGACCTAACAAAATCCCACAAACTGGAAGCTGACCAGAATAGAAGTTTATTGTCTCACGGTTCTGGAGGCTGGGAGTCTGGAATCAGGAGTCTGGAATTTTCTGAGGGTGGCAAGGGAGAGAGTGTTCCATGCCTCTCTGCTGGCTTCTGGTGGCTGTTCCTTGGCTTATAGACACATCTTCACATGGTCGTCATCTCTCTCTCCATGGCTGTTTCCTTTAATACGATGCACTCAAGTGGGATTAAGATCCACCCCGCTCCAATGTCACCTCCTGTTAGGACTTCTTCAAAGACTGTCCCAAACAAGGTCACATTCATAGGTACTAGGAGTTAGGACTTCAACACGTCTTTTGGGGCCACAATTCAGTCCATAACAGTAGTTCATACAAGTACATCCATATTCTAATTTCAGTAGCAAAATCTATAGATTCCCAAAATATATCACTGAAAAGGATGTTATGGTATATGTTTCAGCAGATCGGGTGTTTAAGCCTGGAATTGCATGAAGTCCACCACACGGTCATTAGTCAGCAAATCTCAGGTCTTTGTCCTCAGGTTCCTCCACCACCCCCCCCTTATGTTTTTTTAATAACATGAGTGACACACGGTCCTTGTAGAAAGAGATACAAAATTGTTGTTGTTGTTGTTAAGTGCCGTTAAGTTCCGACTCATAGCGACCCCATGCACAGCAGAACGAAACACTGCCCGATCCCGTGCCAGCCCCACAATCCCTGCTATACTTGAGCCCATCATTGC